GAAATCCATTTCGGCACAGTAATTTGAAGATTTCTGAATACAAGTGAACGATACCTTTTATGAAATCAGGGGTTAAAAAATCCACTAGCCCGACGCCCGGGACTAGACTTTTACACTTCGGGCAATTAAAACTTGTAACCGAATATGCCCGACGGACTAGTAACAAACAATTCTTGGCATTTCCAAAATAGTAAGTGGAAAATCCCCTCATCGCTATTCTATCTTAGCCAATCAGATTCAATTACGTACGTCATCCGGGATTCCAAGAATTTGAACCGATTTTGTACATGTTTTAAAAATAGAACAACTAACTCTGGGTGGACCGGTATCATGTATTGATCGCAATTCACGTACTTTCAATATCAATTTCTCAGTACAGGGGGTATTGTACATTGCTTATGCCGAGATTTTCAATTAATGGTACTTGCATGGGTGTATGATGTAATGATCGATATTGACCTGTCTTGTCGGACAGCTGTTAATTTGAGCTTGAAACCATGCACAAATTATTTCTAAACATTTTAGTACGACCACCACAGGAACTTTGTCAGTTTCAAAACGAAAAACGGTAGATGAAGGGGGTAATGAGGCTGAAAATTTATCCCAAAAAATGCCAAATACGACCAGGAAAAGCGGAAAAAAACATTTATAGTGTCATGGACAGAAAGATTCCCCATGGGCAAGGTCGACTGTTACTGATGATAAACAAGAGATGATGTTTTGTGAATATTGCCGTTACTTTTCCCGATCACGCTGATAAAAAGTCTGCTTTGTATGTGGGAACAACAAATATACGAATTGAACCACTGGTTTAACATGACAATATCAATGATCATGTTTTCTGTGCCCGAAAATATTTAACAACCCATAGTACAAGGGATATCCAAAAAGATGTCTAGAGATCTTTGTTATAATTAATAAAACAAACATTTATTTGATTTATTTTATCAAATACCGTGTATAATGCCGCATTCAAAACAAGGGACACCCACTCTAAATTTGAAAGGTATACTCGGGCTAGCAGGTCAGTTTTGATGGGCTAGCAGCTCTTTCAACAGGGCTAGTAAAATCCTGCTACCAATAAGTCCTGGGCTAGTGAGCTGTAACAAATATTTTTAACCCCTGGAAATGTACGTATTAATACAGCATTATCAAACTGGTTTAATGCATTGTTTCAAGTTTTGAAAAGTGCTCTATTTGGACCTTTTCGTTTTTTTAAACGTAAATGCATCGACATATTATATTTTAAGCATAGGATTTTTTTTTCACTCGATAAAACAATGACGCACTCGAAAAAACACAGACTGCTCTCTAAAAAACGCGGACATATAAAAATTAATTTACTCTCCAAAATGTCCTTTTCAATGCAAAAATAAGAATTCTTATAAAGTGTCTGTATATCTAAGGATATATAGATTCCATGTATGCGTTTCTGTTGATATTTACATTGGTATGCGTACAAAAAAATTGCCTTAATCCATAGTTTGGAATAAAGCATTGTAAAGCTAAATTAAACGTTTTTATAACAAAATAATGTAGGGTTGATAATATCTTTTTATCATAAATACAAATTTACCTTCTATGATCTTATATATAAGGTTCTAGCATCTTTTTTTTTAAAGTCTTACCAAAAAGGAAGTCTGTTTGTTTACATTTTTGATGATATGCACTCGAAAAAACGCGGTCACACTCGAAAAAACCCAAACAAATCATTCGAAAAAACACGATCTCAGCCGGACACTATACCTACTGTGATACTTTTAAACCTTATTACGATGCACGTTATTGCGGAATTTATAGATACAGATACAAGCTGTAAATTGTTTGTACAGGCGTATGGACATGTACCGGGATTTATCAAGATTTTCTAGAAATCAACTCTCTCCCAATTTTAATCCCAGCCTCTGAAATTCAAGAATGTATATAAAAGAACATACAATGAACATCCTGATGTACACAAGTAAATAACGTGTTTACCTTGAATTGTCTTGTCTTGTTAAAATAAACGAGAGTGCCGAACTTTGTTACAGTCAGATTCAGTACACTAATACCAAATCTTAAATGTACCCATTTAATGTTCGACCACGACTTAAAACAAATTACCCTAATCTTATCGATAGTGATGATATAAGAACACATAGCTTGGTATGTGATATATAGAACTGTTGTTTTTCGTCCAATTTTCAATAATTGTTGACATTTTTGTACGATAACCGGTCTGTAAGAGTCGAAAAGAGGGGGGGGAAGGGGGGGGGGGGGGGGAATCACGCGTTTGCTCAATCTTAACCAAACATTTACAGTTGAACCAGCATATGTTTGCCAGATGCATATACTTACTTTTTAAAGTGCTCTTTTTAATTTTTTTTATTTCATTACTGTTTCAGGAATAATACTGTCAACGATCACTTTTAATATACAGTCTTTGCAATTTCCTTGGTAAACAAATGACACTTTGTAAAAACAAAGAGATGTTGTATGAGACAACTATCCACCAGAGCTCAAATGAAGTGGATATACGCAATCATAGACCACCGTACGGCTTTTAACAATGAGAAAAACCAATACCGTATAGTCGGCCATAAAAGGCCCCGACATGAAAAATGTGAGACAGATCAAACGAAAAAACTAACGCCCTAACTTATGACAAAACAATTTACGAAAAACAAATATGATAGACACGAACCAACGGCAACCACTGACATTTGCCCGTTGCAGTCCTTTATATTGTGAACCGATGGCCTAGAATTGACCTGGTACCCGTCCGTAGATTAGTATGAAGTTTAACGTAAAATTATGTATCGTAAGGACATATTCCTTCATGTTAATGTAATTATTATCTCGTCAACCATAATTAATAATGTATCATGGTGATTATTAACCTGTGACTTCTGTCATGATATCAAATCACATTATGATTATTAATCATGTAAAATACAAATTTATTACGTAAGATATTATTTATGTATTTTCCATATGGCCTGTTCTCATATAATTGCAAGTAAATGTTCATGGATCTTATTCATGCACATATGGCCAACTTGACAATTTGAGCTCTGCCTAAAAAAACATTATATGTAAACGAATAAGAAATTTATATTGAATTCCCCATTCACATGCTTTAAAACTTTTAAATAGTTTTAAGTGGAGATCAGTTCTCTTATAGTTTCTAGATCTGTTTAATTTGTTCCTAACATTTCAACACTGAGATTGAGAGCTTGTTTTACTGTATACACTTGTCTATTGTTGAACATTGTAACTATGTTGACATTAATATGTCTTGTTTTTGTTGGGTTGTTGACAAATCAATAACCTTGACAAATGACATATTGTGGGAACAACATCAACAGTCATGGATAAATGCAATTGAACACATATTTCATAATATTTAATGCATAACAAATGATAAAATATGTACATGCCATATAAGCGGGAGGTTTGGCTAGCCATAAAACCAGGTTCAAACCACCATTTTTTCTTAAAATGTCCTGTACCAAGTCAGGAATATGGCAGTTGTTTTCAAATAGTCCGTTTCTATGTATGTTGGCGTTTGTTTTTGTAGCACTTCAGTGTTTCTGTTGTTCCGTTGTTTTCCTCTTATAGTTGATGTGTTTCCCTCGGTTTTGGTTTGTGACCCGGATTTGTTTCAGTTAAATCAATTTATGACTATTGAACAGCGGTATACTACTGTTGCCTTTATACGTCCTTGAAAGAGATAACTTAAAAGAGCTGAAAATTAAGATATCTTAATAATTGTTTACCTCTAAATATCAATGGAGTCGTTGTGTCGTTGGGTCACTGTTTTATTAATGTACCTTCTCTTATTCGTAGGTAGTAGTCTATAATTATACTGTTGTTGTTCAATCACTGCATCTGGTATCTTTTGGATAAAAATCAATATTATGACGTGACGTTTTCTGATTTCATGTACATATGTCCTAAAATCTGCCTTAAATAATAAAAATACCGAAAAGATCAACTGCCGTTTTATGTAAAAATCTTTAAAATACTTATGAAAATTAAGTTTAAGGTGACTTATCGGTTTTTATTAGTTTTGTCTATCAGCTGTCATAATATTAACGAGAAAAATCATAGGGTTTTCGTGTAGACGAGTAACATACAAAAGTTGTTCTTCGAGGCTTTCTCCTATTTTGGGGAACTCACAAGTATAAAAATATTAAAATGCGATACCATTTAGAAGTTGAAAGCTAGGGCTTTGGGACGGCATATATGTATGGCGTAATATAAGCCATTTTCGGATCGTGTAGCTCTTAAAAAAGCCATTATTCGTTGTAGACACCAAGGGAAAATATCTGCACCTACATTGTTTTTGGCATTACACGAGATCATGTCTTCTGCCTTTACTGGTCATTGCGTTGCTGTATGAAATATTTTATGACGCATTGCAACTGAAATTAAGTGTAGAGCTGCATGATTTGATACCAGAGGACAAATTCCTTGAGTTTGCTTTCAGGAACTGCGAGTATTCTTGTTTGCTTTCAGGAACTGCGAGTATTCCTGTTTGCTTTCAGGAACTGCGAGTATTCTTTATCACGGTATAATTTGTTGATTATTTTATGTTTTTGCCTTTAACTTTAATGTTAGAGTTGAATGGTTTTTTATCATAAAATTATGTTCTTTTGCATACGTTTTGTTACATTATAATGTGCATGTCCCCCTCAGGGTCAGTGGTTTTCTTGTGTCATATATTAATGTCTTATTTTGTGATTTAATGTTGATGTTGGATTTTTTTTATCATTTCTTATTTCATTTAGTTACATTTAAGTTAGACATTTTGTATGGACACTTATTTATTGATAAAACTGTGTTTTCTTTTTGATGTATTTTGATTGTTTTGTCGTTTGTTTGCTGTCTGATTTACGTATACCCTACATCTCCTTTAATACTTAATAATGTGGGGCGCAAGCTTTAAAGTTTTTCACTTTCAATGCAATTAGTTGTTTTCATTTTCTTTGTTTTCACAATTTTTATTTTCATTTTAGGTATGAAAGATTCAACAATATGAAACTGTCAAATCCATCTTTAAAAACATTGTTGGCCGTTGGTGGATGGAATTTTGGCAGTAAGCCTTTTAGTGATATGGCGTCTCAGCCAAGTAGAAGATCAATATTTATAAATTCAACAATCGAGTTTTTACGGAAGAGAAACTTCGACGGACTAGACATTGACTGGGAGTATCCAGCGACTCGCGGAGGGCCTCCGCAAGATAAAATAAATTTAGCATCATTAATGAAGGTAATTCTACATTTACTGTCGGAAGTATGATGTCATTGCCTTGTTTTTTTTATCTCTCTCTATTTGAATGATTTTTCATTGCCTCTCCCCCTTGGAATCTGCGCCATACTTTTTGGTTTTTCACTTTTAAGTTCAGTGTTTGATTTAAAATATTCGAAGTCTTACGTAGGTTAACGTTTTTTTTCTGGATTTACGAGATTTTGTTTCATATTTAGGACATTTCGTTTTTCATGACGACTTCGTTTCTATTTTTTCTGGATTTATCTTAAATGTCTAACAAAGTTACATACAATGTTTATCAAAATTACCACGGCGGTGTTTTAGTATACATGTAACATTTCTTTATAGAAAGTTTGCGGACATAATCATGACTTGGTTCATTAATCACAAAATATTTATGTGACGAATAAGATCCAATGATTAATCTTCCTGGTGCAAGGTCTACTTTGTCAAATAAGTTCTATTTTCATAGTTTTATAATTACATAAATTAATGGTTCATGATATTTGCTGTCATATCACTTCACAACAACAACGTTTAAAAAATAAAACAAGATGTATGTCGGATTGATGATGTTTTATTTCAAATCCAGAATATGGATATTTAATGTCCTCTGTTAGAATTGATATGATGATAATTTCTGCACATTCTGAATAATTTTTCTCGGTCTAACACTACCAACAAGCGGTTCATTCTACATCCTATTCAAAATCGACCCAGAGTTTAAACAAATTGTGAGTTAATTGGCTTTTTTATAATTTGAAGCATTTTTGGTAATATTCTTAATAGCCTACAACAAACTCTGTGACTGGATAACAATGTCTTAGTTAAGCAACGAGAAGAAATATGAAATTCCCCATACATGTACTCCTTCATTTTCTGGTGTTGGCAATACACCAGATACCACCTGGATACGGGGAATACACCATATGCCAACTGGATACGGGGAATACATAGATACCACTTCACATTTACATCAAAGTCTCAATAGAAAAATATATGACGAGTCAGTGAGAATGAAGATTCGAGACTGCATTCCGCTCCAACATTTGATAAGGTTGAAATAGATTTGTAGTTTGCTTAAAAAATAACATGGTTACCTGAGACTATTTTTGAACGTGACCTTGTGACCTTAAGGGGAGGGAGTACCTTACTGGAGCCCATATCATATTCAAACTTTCTTTAACATTTAAAAGATCTTTGAAGATATAGAAATTTGAAATATGAAGTATATTATAATACCATCATGTGTTTGTGTGTGTGTGTATGTGTGTGTGTGTGTGTGTTTGTATCCTTGTATGATATCTTTGCAATAAAATATTGAAGTACGATTAGGTTAACGAGTTATATACCCTCATATACTAGTATGTGTTTCCTTGTCTTATACAATGTATGTTTGTAATAAAATATTTGAGTATTTCACGGATTACTTTTTTCCCAATTAGGAGATGAGAAAAGCGTTTGAAGAAGAATCAAAATCAACAAGAAAGTCCCGTTTATTACTTACAATAGCTGTGCCAGCTGACGAAGAGAAAATAAAAAATGGATACGACATAGAAGCTATTTCAAAGTATGTTATTAATTTGAAACGAGTTAAGACTATACGCATCATATTCCTTCATTTATTCCTCTAAATTCCCCGTTGATGAATTATGAAATTATTAATAAACTAAGATTCCATAGCCCTCTGAGCAAAGTTGACCTTTGCTAAATTTGTCTATTCTTTTTTTTTATGTTCCTTTTCTTCATATACATGTAGCTTCTAACATTTTCCCGTATTCATATATTCCAGTATTGAAATGAGCTCAAAAATGGTTTGAGCGTTCGTGATGAAGGTAAATCCAGAAAGTACTTCGGATACAAAATTCATAAAGTCTTATTTTCATTTTCTAAGCAATTATATTTTAAATTAGTGATAATATGTAGAGTTTTAGAATAGTAAAACCGTAAATTCATATTTTTTAATTTATATATATATATCTAAGCGCATTTGTACTTGTTTGTTTTAAAATCTAATGTTCAATTAGCTTCAGCATTGTTTTATACTGTACATCCGATTAAGGATGTTCTATTACTTTGTTTTCCCCCTCTTATTTATTTAAAACCATGGTTTACATCAGTTAAAGAAAAGTTTTTTTCAAAGTATGCATAAATTTTGAAGTGAAACCTTCTGAAAGCTCGTCCCGATCAGACATTGAATTTTGAAACTGTCCTTCAAAACTTGCAAATTCACATCTGTTACTGTTTAATTTTCATTGGTTTTTTAAATATATATGCATTTGTCTTAAGAAAACAACTATTACTAATATACAAATGTACTTAATCAATTACCATGTATACAAATGTACTTTACCAATTATTACCATGTATACAAATGTACTTAATCAATTACCATGTATGCAAACCATCACGAATGGATTGTGCAAAATGGACAAGTAAAAACGTTTCACATGTGCATTTTAAAAAGCAATCTTTGTTTTACTGTCAAGAGAAGATCGAGACACAGATATTGTGTTTAAATAAAAACTCAAGCTTAAATGTATATAAATGTTCGATGATTTCGAGTATTTGTTGGTTGGTCGGCATCACCCCTTCCACTCACACACACACAAAGAAGATATTATACATAGTTCTATGACTATATGAAGTATGTTTTTTCCAGATCGTCAGATTTTATCAATATAATGACTTATGATTTTCATGGAGCATGGGACCCTGTCACAGGACACAACAGTCCGTTGTTTCCTAGGAGCAAAGATATGGGATACGCAGCACAGAAGAACATGGTAAGCGTATTTAAGAGTAGGTTTTAATAAGTAATTTGATCATTTAGTGAATAAGTCATTTGCATTTTTGACATGATATTATGGTTTAAACGTGTAGGAATGAGGACAAATTCACAGGTTTCCCACATAGCGAATCACCCCGACTTGTTTTTATAAATGTTACTTATTTGCCATGAGCAACACTAGGGGGGGGGGGGGGCACTAGTGAAGAAGGAACTGCTGACCGTACCACAGAACCTGAGTAAATCCCCCTATTTATGGTGAGCTTTGTGTTGTGTTGCTCGATCTTTAATTTTCTAAGAAGCTTGAATTTCTTCCACTTAATGTTTTTTAGTGTCCATGGTGTCTTCTTTCCCTTTTTTTCCTTAAAGCTGTGCTTTTCTGCAGTAAAATTCCCAGGGCTGCTCAATGGCGAAAATACAACTGGGATGAATTAATGTTTAGGAAATTAAATTCGATATCATAACAACGACGGAAGAATCCACCTTCTTTCCACATTAACAAAAAGACATATACACATTTTGCAAGTTTACGAAACTTCGAATCTAACTGAGTGATGTTGTTATTTCAGAACTGGGTTTCAAATTATTGGTTAAATAAAGGTACACCAAGATCGAAAATTGTTATTGGCTTTCCTCTGTTTGGCAGAGGCTTTACATTAAGAAACCGGAACAACCATGATATTGGATCTGAGGCAACCGGAGGATCGATTGCTGGTCCTCACACTAGTGAAGTGGGATACATTTCTAATTTCGAGGTAAGAAATAATTCTCTAAGTAATTACCCTTTCACCAAAACTGAGAAAACTAATGAATAAAAAACAAGTGTTTGATTATGATCTTTGACCTTGTATGCCCTACAAATAAAAGTATAACAGTAAGATCTTGCTTAATTAAAAGTACCCTTTCATATACTTTAATTATGAATTAAATTATAATGGCATCGAAAACTTGACTTTTCAATATCTGACTGATGTCAAGTGATAACAAAGGCGTAAAATACAGGATCCGGAAGAGTAGGCAATCCCAATTGGAAATACATTTTACGTGTGTAGGGTAGTATATTTGAAGTAGGGACGGGTCAGATCTACATATATGATTGAGACGTTCGTTAATGGCTGTTAGTACCGTATGATTTGACTATAGTAAGATACCAAAATACATTTATTTTTCAAATATTTAGGTTTGCAAAATGATTGCTGATGGTGCTAAAGTATACAGAGACACAGAACAGAAGGTCCCTTATCTTGTTCAGGGAGACCAGTGGATAGGTTACGATGATAAAGAGAGTTTTACTGAAAAGGTAATACACACAATAACAATTACATGCATTCGACATACATTAGATGCCATTAAATACAATTGAATAATAAGATTTATCATGTTTTTCCTGAAGCTAATTTCAAACTGATGAAAGACCCCCTCCTAAAGGATTGAAATCTATCATTTTGTTGCATTAACCAATATATTATGGTGTGAATTAGATGCACTAAATCGGGCAAACGCCTTCATATGTGTATCTCATACATGCACCATCGTCGAGTATATATATAGAAATGACTAAGATATGTCTTTATAGTTTAAGTTTATATGTTTTCAGAAAATGAAGAAAATAATATCACATCCTGTTGGTATTCTTATTTCATTCCGGAATTTTAAATGAAATATTTCATTTTTATCTCTCAAAGATTTCTGTCAGACATTAAAAATGAGTGTCTGTAAATTGTAAAGTATTAAGGTTATATTAAGGTGAAAAGAAAAGAGAACTTCTGCAGATCCGGATTAAGGAGGGGGCCGGTCCCCCATATGGAGCTTCAAATATGATAAATGCATAGATCTTTTACAAATATCACTCCAAACGTTGGCTTGCCAGGCCCCCTTTTTTTAAATCCTGGATCCGCACCTTAGAAGATATTAAGAGTACTATAAAAATCCAAAATAAAATAAAAGCAGACAACACCATGACCAATAAGAGAAAAGAACACGCCAGACAAAACTACACATACATTTATAAATAAAAAGATTGAGGAACACGTACTCCACCAAAACCAGAGTAGAACTCAATATGTTCCTTTTTTTACTTACTACATTACAATCAATACTTACTGTCTAATGTGATATAAAGATGTGAGGATATTTTCCCTTAACATTTGTCTAAAAAAAACCATGCGACTTTCTGTTTTTTTTTAACTGTATGCTGTTTCCATTCTAGCGCTACTGATAAGCCTTATGCAGACAAAACGCAAAACTGGTTTCCTTAATTATAAGCCTGGTAATCTTAGAATTTTACCAAAACAGTTTATACTTTTTACTCGAATTAAACCTATTCAAAGAATTATTAAGATATTATATAAACACTTAGGCTGTGTAATAACAATATATTGAAATTTACCAGCAAAGTAATTTTTCAGGCAAACTGGGTGAAACAGAACAAATTTGGTGGTGTAATGTTTTGGTCATTAGCATTAGATGATTTTACTGGTTTGGCATGCAAGACTGGTTCTAAATATCCAATGATATCAACGGTCAAACGTATTCTAGCAGAAAAAGATATAGTGGGAGTCAATACTAAACAACAGACATCTGACACATTATCAATATCGAAGACTAGTTCTAATAAGACAGTCACAACTAATTCACCTGTTTCATCCGATATCTCTGCTCAGTCATCAGCTACACCATCATCCATCAAACAAATCGGATCAAGGACAAGCACACAGACAAAGGGAAATTCATTAGTTGACGATAATCAAACACACCCATCAATTTCTAACGGACAACTTAAAGCAAACGAAAACGCAAACCTATCTGTGGATAATATAATAATAGAAGAAGAGCAATTAACGGCATCAACCAAAGACGTGGCTTTACAAGATAAGAAAAAATTATCTAAGTCAGTCCTTTCAACTAGCAGTAGTAACAAAGGACTAGAGAAAAAGCTTGAAGAGGAAAACAAAACTGTTTCTATAAGTCAAAGTATCCCCCAAACACATTCAAATGAACGTGCAACAACTAAGGATAATACTGACGCGAAAAGTACAAAACCAATGTCGAGCCAACTGTCTACTGGAGCAAAATCAATTGATACAGAAGAAATACAAAAGAATAACAACAATAAGAATACATCTAAAGTATTAAACGAGAAAGCCTCTATCAATTCAACAAGTTTGAACCCGGATGGCTTGCAGACAAAAGTAAAAGAAATGAATATAGAAAGCACCGACAAGGAGAATGTTGGACAGTTAAATACACAAAACAATAGAAGTAATCAGAATGCCTTACCTAACACTGATATATCAGCTTCTATAACAACAAATACAAAAAATAAGGAAGAAACGAATAACCAGACAGAAATTACAAATGCTGTCTCCAACAAAAGCCAAAATATTTCAAAACAAAGCAATACAGAAGAACTATTGAAGCATGGAAATAATGAACAGCAAAATCCTTCTCCCACTACGAGTGGATCTGTTGTGGGTATAGTTAATATAACAGCCAAAACAACGGAAAATAAAGTAAACAGTGTCCCAGGGGGAGGAAAAACAATTGCCACATTAAAAGAAGGCACCAATAAAGGTAGAAAAATGACAGAGACTTCATCTTTGAAGGTTGCAAATGGTGGTGATAATATAAGTAAAAGAAAAAATGAAACTGCAACACCAGATTTTAAGGACACGGAAGTACCAAATAAAGATTCTAAAACAAAATCAAATCCGTCTGTAAGTAATACTGGTTTAGATGCTGCTTATGAAAATACCGATTCATCAAAACCCGAGACAGGTACCTCAGAAACATCAAACACAAAACATGCATCTGCGAAAACAAAAAAAATATCAGATAGAATTGAATCAAGAAAAAAATCAAGAAAAAAATCAAGAACAAAATCAAGGAAGAATTCACGAAAGAATTCATCTCAGCAAAATGGCCAATCATCAATACAAGAACCTACAAAGCAAACACCGTCCGGAAAAGTTTTGTCTACATTATCCGATGACATGACTAAGACAGGAGTGAAACAGGAATTGAAATTAGAAAAAAAGAAAAGTAAAGAAACCGTACGAATGCGACGATCTAACAACAATTTTGATTACAGTTCATATTTTCGGAAAAGGTCCCTTCTTCAAACCACAGAAGTCGGAAATGGGGCTAATCCGTCAAGGTTTGGTTCAGTCTTGAGTTCTCTATTAGATATAGTGTCAAATTTTGCAGTAGGAGGAAGAGATCGGTCTGTCCAGCAATCACAGGGATCGAACACCGGTGGAAGACGTATTGAAGCAAGACGAATAAGTGTTACACCAAGTCCACCTGTAAGTTTAGATTTACAACGACGTTTTGGAGCAAGGAGACGATTAACTGCAACTCCTAGGCCATCTGGTGTTCCAAATTCCCAAAGACGTCTAGAGGCTAGGCGACGACAGACTGTCACGTCAGGCCCATCTCCTCGATTGCAACAGGCATTACGATTACAGCAAAGGACAAATGCTAGACAAAATCAGCAAACTAGTTTGAATGCTGTTGACCCAAATTTGAACACCGGGCAAATGCAGAATCAAAGACAAAAGACAAATATAAGACAAGATCAGCAAGCTAATGCTAATGCAGTTCGTATTGCAAACAGACGACAAGCACAAAATCAAAGAACGAATAGTCTTAGACAAGGTACACAAGTCAGCTCTAATGCAGCAACTGTTACAAGAAACAGAGGACAGTTGCAAACAAGGCTATCGACACGAACCAGAACCCAGTCGCGCAATGGTACACCTGAGAGTATCGCCCTATTTCCGTCTGTCGAATCTGCAAATAGTGGAAGAACCAATACAGATATCTCTCCAACTCGACCAACACAGATGAACAGTGTAATGCGCCAAAGAAATGGAAATGCTGTTCAAAATAACGAAATACGTTTGTTGCAAACAAGACGAAGAAACAGACTAAGAAATGATAATGCAGTTCGGACGAATAACATACTTACATCTAAGTCTGTGAACGGGAATCGTTTGACGGTTTCTCGAGATAATATTTTAGAAAACAGATCAACATCACTATTACAGCGAATTGAAGACGCGACTCGTCAGCGAGGAGCCACAACTCGTTTACAGAACTCTATACAGAATAATCCAAATACAAATCAACTGCGTGATTCCTTTTTAAATCAGATACCTGACCTACTTGATAATCCTCCAATTAATACACTGGATGCAACAAGACTTCAAACAGCTTTACTTCGAACTCAACAGCGAAATGCAAACCAAAATGATCGTTCAATAAGAAGAAATTCAAGACGTCCGCCGTCTAACAGACTGCAAAATCTAAGACCATCTTTACCACAGTTAAATAACTTGAACGAACATTCACTGCTTAATAATAATCAAATTTTTCGAAATCAATTGCCACAACTAGGAGCTGAATTAGATGTTACTGAACTTGGTATACTTCAAGGAATCCCAACAGCATCAGCACTAGGGTTACAACCAATAAACCCCACGATGGGCATTAAACAGTCAACAGAGAATGGTCGTATATCATTGAACAACATTACCTCATTATCGAACGATCAGCAAAGTGATAGGGGACAGCAACCAGTGAGGAATCTGGGTGTACAACCAAATATAGATGCTAAAAGAATTATGCAAAATGATATGATAAGTCGTCAAACAATGTTAGAACAGCAAAACCGGATAACAGGAGGAGATAATCAGGTTGCACTGTTAGAAAGACTGTTAAGTCGTCAGGTTCTAGGGAGTACCAACGGATTGACGAGAAAAGAGCTAAACGAGATGACACAGTTACAAGGGATGATAAGTAATCAGTTATTAGGATCTGAGTTAACAAGAAATAATGTTCCCCGTCGGTTGTCTTTGGAAAGAATAAACGGAAATAGTCTACCTACGTTTAACCAGATAGTGCCTTTAGCTAGAAGTGCTCAACCTAGACATTTTGATAGCTTAAGTTCTACCAATAGCATTCTTCCTAAATCTGAAATGGAACAGAAAATTGGTAATGAAATGTTGGTAATTCCAAATAAATTAGCTCAGAGACAGCGAAACAAACTTTCAACGACTCAAGGGATGACACCAACAAGTAATTCTTTAAACAGTTTGCGTCTTGAAGATTTGAAGCTTGGTGCAGATAATGCAGATCTAAGTATGAATTCTGTTTTAAATCAACTTCAGAGTTTTAAATCTCAGACTAGTTCGACTTTGCCATTTTCGTTAAAACAACAACAAAAACCTCTTACAAGGCAAACAAACATAACTGCCCTAAAGACAACATCTGGCATCAAACCAATGGCTCAAAATCCATCCAGTAAACAAACAGGTAACATTGCAAATATATTAAAAGATCGATTTCCGCAATTAAATGCAAATCAGATAACAGCCTTAACAAATGAAATTAAGAGACAAGTAAAGTCTGTTGTAAAATCAAATTTTTCAGAAAAAGTGCGCGATACATTAATTACAATGCCTTCTCAAAAAACGTCAGGAAATGGAAAACCTAGTGCATCGATTCCACAAAAAATTACGGAAAAGTTCCAACCTCGCGAAAACGAAAACATTAAAAAGTTGGTAATTCAAGAAATGGAACCAAAAAGATCAAATAGCAGTCCAAATTTTAATCCGATAAAAGGACTGGAAATGCTATCCCCAAAACGTTCAACAAATGTCGGGAATACAGTAAATTTGGAGCAACTACGACAAGAATTAATGAGAAGTGGTTTACCAGGAAACTTAGTTATTCAAATTAATCCATCACCTCTTCTAAATGGTAGATCAGATGTAAATACTCGACTTTCCTCTGGAAGATTAGGAGTAACAAGAGGAACACAAGTCCCATCTGTAGACGTACCAATTGTTCGAAATCAAATGGTTAGACGAAATAATAACATATTATTGCGAAATCCATTCCGGAAACAGCCTCGTGTTCCGCTTGCACTAATTACAACAACTCCTACTCCCCAGCAAAAGATAGATGCTATTCAATCTCCCCATGAACTTATCATCAAGGAAAGAGGAAAACAGGCAATTGAGTTATCGAACTTGCCGTCGACGCCATCTTCATCACCAAGACAACAATTTCGGGCTTCAAATCAAACAGTAGTTTTAGGGAGTAGGTCAAAAGCAAAAATTCCCTTGCCGAAATCTGAAGTTTTATGGAAATGGCAAGTGTAAAACTTAAATCTGAACTATGTCAGATCCTACAAAAGAAAATTGAATAACTTATATCAGATATTTATGTCAAGATTTCGAGATTTTATATCAGATTTAACGACTAAAAGCTGGCAATGAAACAAGAAAAAGTGTGCATCTAAATAAAATACACAAACTAAATGCTAAATATAATTATGATGCTTGTGTACGATGAAAGGTTGATTTCTATAATGGTACATACTTTTTTTTACAGTGAGTCATTTTACATAAAAAATCTTTACAATTTGTGCATGTTGTCTTGTATTCATAGAAGGGTGTATCAATAGGATGGATAGATCATGGACGAATGCAAAATATATGTTTGAAGAATTTTTTTTCACATATAACATAATTGTAAATGAATTTTGCTTCTAAACGGTAAATGGTATTATGTCCTTATAACGTTCTGTAATTATTTTACTCTGTAAATCGAACATGCATAGTGAAAGTCTTGTCCTTCATAAAACGATCAGGATTTCAGATCAAAGACCTCATTGTGTTATTGACCTTGTCAATTCCTTTAAAGCATACGTTTTAGTTATATTGATGGATAGGTACTTTCGTTTATTTTTACACTTAAAGTCAACATATTTTTGACGTTTTTCGTATTTGTTTACTTCCATAATTCATTCTTTGCTTTTATTTTGAAAATTAAATTAAACCACAAAAATAAATAAAGGAGAAACGATATGATTATAAAATAGATAAAATCTCGTTTGTATTTCGATTTTTAATTGATCTAAAAGCATTTTAGTCCCTTGTGTTAAGTTACATAGTTTGTTCTAGTCTAAAGATTTTGTCATAGATGTCATAAAAATAGTAATAAGGAAAACGTAATAAGGCATTAAATATCAGCCGAAAATATATAATAAACCTTAATTTTATCAATTATTTTCTAACCGACAAGAAGTACATCTTGAATTATTTGCGGCAAAATTGAATGCAATTACTTAATGAAGTTGTATACCATTAACAGTTAGAAGATCAAACACACTTTAATTAACTGTACACGTTTGAGCCCCTTCAGCATATTTAGTATACCATGTATACAAACATGTAACATTTTAATCATGATTTATGATATTTTCATGTGCAGCTTTCATTTTTTGACAGCACTGAGTCGATACCTCTGTTGGTGGACTATCAGTCCCCGAGGGTATCATCAGCTCAGTAGTCAGTACTTCGGTACTGACATGATTTATAACAAACTCTCTAAAATTGTCCGTTTATAAATTTTGAAATTATTCTGAAACTAAGGTTTCAACTCCCTCAGGCAAAGTTAGCCTTAGATTGATTTGGCTATTTTTTAGGTCCTTTTTGGTGTATAGATCTTCAACGTTTTCGGTCCTTATACATCCTTGGCTTTCAAATATTCGGCTTTGAGCGTTCAGGAATGAAGGTAAATCCAGAAAAGCGCTTCGGACGCATGTAATTTATAACGTGTTGTTTTCATTTTTTAAGCTATATTGGAGAAACAAAACGGGGCTTAAGGGGGAAATTCACCACATCAACGGTAGGGACAGAATTCTATGTACGCTTTTTAAAAATCATTCTTCAATCGAAAGAAAATATACCATCGGTTGGCCATCATATATGCCATCATCGTTGCTTTATGTGCCGTATTTTAAAAACTTGAGAACATCAATATTGGACTAGCTTTACCAACTACGGGCATACTTAATTCTCCATATCTCGAAAGAAATATTGAAATAGCTTTTTAAACTGACAATAATATAATAAGTTCTCTGTACTCTTTTGTATATTAATTACAATCATTTTTCAAAACAGTCCCACATTACATGTTCTATAAACATGGAAACTAATCTAAAGAGAATAAAATCATAGAAAAGAAAACATCGTATGCAAGCTAATGAAATGTTTGTTTTAGATCCCTATATATATATTATATTTTTCAGTGCTGTTTGTTTTTACTTTTACATTGCTCATTATATCACTTAATATTTGCAAAATTACCAATACAATATTGATTCATTTAATTTTTTGTATGCCCTCGCAACTAAAAGTTTTGGCTATATTGTTTTACCCCTGTCCGTCCGTCCCATTATGGGTATATAGTTATTCCGCATAACTCCTCTTTCAGTTTGAATGCCAGGAAGTTTTCACTTTGATGTCTGTTTGTACATATATTGAAAGTGTGCATTTGGTCAGGGTTTTGATTTTTATTAATATTTGCTCTTTTGGGAGATAGTTGAACTTTGTCATTTTTGGAGTATATACTTGCATAAGAGGTGCATAGCGTTTCAGGATAACTCCTCCTACAGTGAAACATAAACCTATGTGCTCCCTTGCTCAACTTTGTGTATTTTGAAATAACACTTTGCATCTGCGGGGGCATCATTTGTGTCTCCCAGACACAATAATATCTCAAAGAAAGTCCTACATAGACTTTGTCATAATGAAGTTACTTCAGAGTGGAGTGTTGGGGCATCACTTTGTCAGTTTTAAATTGTGTTGAATTGCATACATTAAATAGAATTAGGATATTATGTAATTTCAGACTAGCATAATTTCAGATTTAAATACGCATGAAACATGCGAATCGAATCTAAAGAGAACATACAAATCCGTCTATTTGTTCAAGCGTGATTAGAGAAACATGTTCGTTCGAACTGAAATGAGCGTCTACGTTAACTTTAACAACATAGTGTTAACGTTCTCGTTAAGCCTCGTGTATCAAAATTTAATCAAAGTATTGAAGTATTGAACATCGGATGACCGCAAGTTATGTTGGATGATGAATAAATGACAGGCGGTAATATGATACCTGCCAGACAGATATGTACACCTTACAATTATTCAATACACATGATATAAATGACATATTCATCCGCAAACACAATTTTTCGGTACGTGAGCATAGATATTAATGATTTTTTTACTTTTATATATATTTCTCACGACAAAACATTTTCATTTTATTCATTTATGTTCTTAAAAAATATTTTCATGAGTATTCATTGAAGAAATGAATTTATAACAAGCGATAAGAAATGTTATTTTGCACTCGATAATATCCGCGTATTTATACGAAATACGTTCGGTTATCAGTCAAAAGCGCAAGGGACGTGTGCAGAAATTTCTGCGGCAACATAACACCGGTATGACCTCTTAAGGTCACATCCGATGTAAAAATCGAATTGTCCCGATAGAAGCAATAACTTTTCACACTCGATGCAGTGACATAATCTATATATTTCATATCTCGTTAAATAATAAACTCACCAAAGATATAGTACAAGTCTGTCAAACAAAAATAACGTATTCCAAGATTATCTAATTTTATGGAGTTTGCAAAGCGTATCAAGTGACTTTCAAATCTTTCAAAAATATCTGTCTCCTACTTTACTGATATCTCTCTTCAACTTCACTGAGCTTGCGGCGAGGTGAAAGTCCTTAAGGATTTTATTGCACCCATTTAGGTCGCAAATATAATTTTTCAGTCTTAAATAATGTGCTGGTGGACATTTCATCACAGAGGGCATCCCCACCCCTATAGTCCACAAACCCGTTAATGATTGTCATTTGATTTTCATTTCCATTTTAGTCTTCAAAAAAGAATAGTTTGTAATATCTACGTGGTATCAAATACTGTTTCATTGGGTCTTTATGAAGCCAAGCCATAAAATGTGATTGATAAAAGAATTAACTTGCAAAAAGATAAAACCCGGAGAATTTACTGTTACCCCCAATCGGAATAGCAATGACTGTATCTTAATGCAAGCAAACCTAGACTTTTAACAAGTTTGCCTGTCTAGTCCTGTGCATTTGTTCTAGAAGAGACCAATAGGATAATTTCAGTCCTCAGAAACATAATGGGACATCTGGATTTTATTAAGACGACGGGAAAATGGAGAGAAATCATAATATCTACATGCCACTTTGAAATGTATAGAAAATGATGTTTCAATCGATCTTTATGAATATTCCTGGAGTTACCACCAACAGACACAAACTGATCATCAAATGAACAGTGGTACTAAGCCACCAATTTTAAATATAGATTAGCATTCCAGAAGCTTATAGAGTAACAATATATGTAAGAGTGCTCTTTGTCAGAATGAACATATTTGAAACTGTCATTTTACACTTGTGTAATTAAGAAATAAGAAAAGAAGTATGGGATATTCAGTACCAGCTTTATATAACGAGTTCATCTACGATCTTTTCTACAAAAGAACTATAGGATATTCAGTACCAGCTTGATATAACGAGTTCATCTACGATCTTTTCTACAAAAGAACTATTGGATATTCAGTACCAGCTTGATATAACGAGTTCATCTACGATCTTTTCTACAAAAGAAGTATTGGGAATTATTCTTACTATTTTAAAAGTATCTAGAAATGGTATTTTCGTGAAACAGCACAACCATTCCACGTTTTTTTGACAACACGTAAAAAGAAAACAACAAACAAAATAAGACTTTTTTCGAGACTTTTAAATTTGGTTTAGTCTCGATTATATGTTATGATAATAATTTAACTTATATATTTAAAGGAATTTTTGTTTGTTTTCATCAACTTTCTGCGTCAAGTTTTGCAGTAATAAGAAAGGGTTGATAATGAATAATCACTGACACTCTTTCAAGATTAATGTAGATGGTGCACTTTTTTGTAAACACATAATATCTTGTGTTGAAAAATGTTAAGATGTTCTGTAACCTCTTTTCTCATTTTTAAGAACTAATATGAGGCAGGCGTTACCTGTGAAAGGGGACGAAGTCTGTATGCATTATTTTTTAAATTCAAGCATAATTTAACTTCAGAATCTGTTAAAAAAGAAACGGAAATACGGAAACGTTTCCGATGTTGGTCCTGTTGTTAGGGATTTTAGTTGTGACGTCATTTTCAATGTAAACAAAGAAACGCTATGATTTCATTAGTATGTTGATTTTTATATTGATTTTTAGTTTTATTGATTTGCTTAGTGTTATAAGATCTTATAAGGCACGTCCCCATAATATTTTACTCAAATCCCGAGATAAACGATACCTGAAAAGATTTCTGCGCAGATGCGGGAAATAAAAAAAGTTAGAAAAAAAAAAGTTAACGATTTTGAGTTCATTAGTAGATTGAATTTATTTTTTGTTCTTTTTGTTTTTCGTTTTCTTTTTTTTTATTGATTTTTCTACTGTAATTGTGGACTTCGTCCCCATATAACCAGGAAATCTTACTTTCAATATAAATTTCTCTGAGTGTAAGAATAAAAGTATATCAAAACTCATATTTACGTAGGCATTTTTAGTGTATAAAACAGGCAAAAAAATACAATAGAAACAATCAACTAGAGACTCTAAAGAGCCTGTGTCGCTCACCTTGGTCTATGAGCATATTCAACAAAGGACACTCTCCAACATTGTAGACGAGAATAGAATTTATGACAAAAATCTCTGTTTTGTTGATCTTGCCTTTCTGATCATTTAGTCTGTTTAGTTTCTCTCTATCTTCTTTAGTTTTTGCCCTAAACACAAAAGAGGGTAAACAAAATCCTCATTTAAGGGCAATCACTCCTATAAAGAGTGACAGTCTAATAACTATATCGACAAAATTTAACTTGTTAGTAGATCTTACCTTGCTGATCGTTTTTGTGATTTAAAGTGTCTATTATAATTTCATCATGTAAGGCATATAATTAATTCAACGCAAAAAAAATGGTAAAAATCTTCATTAAAGGGCAATAACTCTAATAAGGAGTCGTCGGACGATTTCCTCCTAGTCTTATAGATCTTGTCTTGCTGATCGTTTTTGCTTATTTAAGTTTCTATCTCTCTCTTATAACTTTTAAGATATAAGGCTATAACGCAAAAAAATGGTAAAAATCGTCATCAAAGGGCAATAGCTCTAATAAGGAGTCGACTGACGATTTCGATCATATTAGACTGATTTGTAGAACTTGTCTTGCTGATCATTTTTGCAATTTGAAGTTTCTCTCTATCTATTATAATTTCAAAAATGAAAGAAAAAAAAGTTAAAACTTGTCATTTAAGGGCAATAACTCTTATAAGAAGTCGTTTGAAAGTTTTGACATATATGGACATTTTTGCCCCTGTCAGATTTTCTCTATCCATAACGGTTTTCAAAATAATAGACAAAACTTGCATTTTACCCCTGTGTTCTATGTTTAGCCATGTCGGCCATCATGGTTGGTAGGCGGGTTCACCGGCGGACACATTTTTTAAACTAGATATCCCAATGATGTTTGTGGCCACGTTTGGTTAAATTTGATCCAGTAGTTTCAGAGAAGATTTTTGTTAAAGTTAATGGACGACGACGACAAAGGACGACGGACGACGGACGCCAAGTGATGAGAAAAGCTCTCTTGACCCTTTGGGCCAGGTCAGCTAAAAATCAAGTTTAATAAAATCTGATAATTCCATAGGAAAAAAGCGAGAAACGAAGAAAAACAAAACTATCAATGTGTACTTGTAAAATTCATTACATCATCGTTGAAATATTATATCATTACAGCGTTCGGCAAAAGTAAATATCCAAAACTAATTGAGGAAAAATAAACTTCAAAATTTGATATATTTGGATATTAACATTAAAAGAAGTCTGCAGGCTATTCTGTGCAAAGAAAGATAACTGGCATTTCCTTCCTGGTGTAGTTTCCACGTCTCAACATAAGTGTTTCTTAAATAACGTCATTTCAAGCTACAAGTTAGTTGTTTAAATTTACATATAAATCAGTACCATACTAAGTATAATTACTATCTTATGAGCAGTTTTGAAACGAAAGCCCTTAGATTTATGAGTCTCTTAATGATCCTTCTGCTCCAAGATGAGTGTGGTTGAGGTGTCAGACCACCAATTAAAAATTCCTATCTGTTCAACCAAATTTTGCAATTTTCACAGCTTTCTAAATATTTTACCTTTAGTTTAACTTCATAGAAACCAGGTATATCCTGAATTTTACATGTATCAGCTTTCTACATGCCAATTTTCAACGTACCTTTAAAATCTTCTAAGAAAAAACTGACCTTTGAAAAGAGGTACTCCAAAAATAACCCCTGGTTTTCTGGAAATCTTTAATTAGTATACAATGAAGCGCATTAATCCTGAATTTTTAATGCAAACTCATAGACAAGTGAATTTTGGCTCAAAATGGTCTAAATATGTTTCTCTTTCAACAAAAGTTACATTTCTGCAAATTTGTTAGTTAGTTTAAGTAAACAATGACATCAAAAGCACTATTTTGTGTCAGAGTAGGGCTACTTTTACATACGTTCTAAATTGGAGGGAGTAATTGGTGGTCTGACACCTTGACGACTTCGTATTTTCCTTTTTCGTGCTTTGTCATCAAAAGTGTTGCCTACTTTCTTGCTAAACGACAACTGTACATGGAACAAGCCATATATAAACGCCTAAAAAATTGTGCAAAACAACACCAATATTAAAAAAAGGAAACATTGGATATAAGTATCTATAAATATTTCGGATAACAGACATCCTTCATTAGTATGATTATGATGATGTAAAATGAATCATATCAATCTATTCTGATTTAACTAAAACAATCTTTACAGTTATACAATTAATAACCGAACAACGCTTGTATAATGCTAAAGTTTAAAAAATGACGCAAGTTAAGTATTTACAACAGAGACTGCATAAATATGCTTCTGAAAAGAACAGTAATGTACGATATGAACTGAAGCAATTCTAAAATTTCACAGGTGACGAAAGTTAAGTTATTACAACAGAGACTGCGTAGAAATATATTCCCAATGCATAGCACTGACTGATTTGAAATGATATAATACTAAAATTAAAATTTAACTAAGGTTAAGTAATTACAACAGAGTCTGCGTATTTAACTTCAAAAGGGGGGGGAGGGGGGGGGGATGTTATGGTTTTTTGTCTGAGACAGATTTTTTTTTAGTTTTTCGACGCTATCAATCAAATTACTTTTTACAAAATTTAGCACTATAAGGTATGGGGAAAATTTGGATTCAGAATATTTTTTTTTTGTCATCTGAAGGCCACAATATATTTTTTCATGAAAATTGGGGATCAGAATATTTTTTAGGAGGAAAAAATCCATAACCCCCCCCCCCCCACCCCCCGTGAAGTTAAATGGTCGTTCCCTTAGACCAAGCAGTGTTGTGGTTTATGTGGAAATGGTCAGTCGAATGAGATCTGCCTTAGTGTGGCCAGGGGATCTCAAATGTCGACTAAGAAGAAGGTCTGGCTTGTCTGTGTCTAAACTAACTAATGACATTTTTACCACGTCTTAGATTGTGGTTTAACATCTATGTCGTCTGTCTGTTAAGTACTTAACGTGACCTATTCCCGAATATGACTGTTATACCGAGTGTGAATTTGCTTTGCTATACGACGTGTCTCGGTATTTTGTACATCCAACATTCATATATTTATTTTTGATGTTTATGTTATGGTTTCGGTTGGATAATGTATTATGTCTCATCGTTTGTAGTCCAAATAATCATAAAATTGCCTTTCAATACCATCATTGTCATGAAAATTGTTTGGACTGGTATTGTGAAAATAATTGTATAAAGTTCGAGATTGCATGTTCGTTACGTAAGTGAGTCACTGTTTGTGGTGTCTGTCGTTGATGGAAGATGTTTGTTGTTGTTCTGCGGTTTGCATGTTGTGTCGACTATTATATTATTTGTTTGTGCGTTTCTCTGTGATGAGTGTTCTTGTTTGTGAATGTGCTGTATTTCTGCCACGTAGTGTTGTCATTTTAGCAATATTTTTGAACATTGTCATATGAGCGGGAGGTTTGGCTAGCCATAAAACCAGGTTCAACTCACATTTTTTTCTTGAAATATCCTGTACCAAGTCAGGAATATGGCAGTTGTTATCAAAAAAAGTTGATGCGTTTTCCTCGGTTTTAGTTTGTAACCCGGATTTGTTTTCTCTCAATCGATTTATGACTTTTGAACACCGGTATACTACTGTTGCCTTTATTTGCATTCATAGTCCTACGATGGCATCTTCGCTAGCCAAGGGTTACGATCCCGTCCCCTCGGCTGGATTTTAATCCTTGGTTAGCGAAGATATTACAGTGGCCGTTCATACGTTTGTGAAATGGCTGTTCTGACTTACCAACATACTGTTTACCACATTTACACTCTAGAAGATACACAGCATTTGTAGTCTTGCAATGTGTATTCCGTACTACTGGAGTGACTGACATTATCAAGATGCTTGATTTCTTGATTAACAACATATTTGTTACGTTTGGAGGACGTGTTTTTCAACAAACAATCGGCATTCCCATGGGAACAAACTGTGCCGACTTGTCCCTTTATTCATATGAGGCTGACTTCATACAGGAACTTCTTAGGAAGAAAGAAAAGAAGTTAGCAGTATCCTTTAACTTTACTTTCCGCTATATAGATGATGTTCTCTCACTAAATTATTCAAAATTTGGTGACTATGTTGATCGCATCTACTGAAATAAAACTTATATGGAAAACTATAAGCACACGTACATACAAAACTGAAATTAAAAATATATTTGTAATTGGAAAACTGAAATAAAACATACATGGAAAACTAAAATAAAACATACAGAAAACTGAAATAAAACATACATAGAAAACTGAAATAAAACATACACAGAAAACTGAAATGAAACAAACATAGAAAACTGAAATTAAAAAATAATAAAACATACATGTTTCTCGTTTCTCGTTTTTTATATAGATTAGACGGTTGGTTTTCCCGTTTGAGTGGTTTTACACTAGTTATTTTGGGGGCTCTTTATAGCTTGCTATTCGGTGTGAGCCAAGGCTCCGTGTTGAAGACCGTACTTTGACCTATAATGGTTTACTTTTATAAATTTTGACTTGGATGGAGAGTTGTCTCATTGGCACTCATACCACATCTTCTTATATCTATGGAAAACGGAAATTAAAGATACACAGAAAACGGAAATAAAACATACATAAAACACGGAAATAAAACATACATGGAAAACTGAAATATAACAATACCAACCTTACGATAATGCAAGACTAAACAAAAATTGCAATCAAGGTTGGTACATGTACAATGTGTTTCTACAGATTTCTTTTGCAGTATTAAAATATAAGATTTTAAAATTTGGTAAATAATGGACATGAATTCTTATTACGACATGGTATACGTTTTATAGCACATTTTCGTTTATTATTTTTCGTATTTTAACAATTTTATTATTTTGTTGGGCATTTAACATGTATAATATGTTTAAATATCCTGTTTCGGAGACGATGACATGTTGAAAGGGGCAATTTTCTATCAGGATTAAATAGCTGTGTTAACGGAACAGGTTTATCTGAAGTCAATCTGTTTTTTAACGAATATAGTCGTGCATATTATGATAGGTATGTACATATTTTATCAACATTTGTCATTTTTTTTGTCGAATATGATATTTCAGATTTGTTTATGCAATTCGTAGAAAGAGTTAAATTTATGATATATCTGTTATGTTTTTGTGAAATATTGTATAAGAGATATTTTGATAGAATTTGTAAAAAGAACTGAAACTATAAAATGCTGCTTTTAAAAGAGCAAGCTCATGTTTTTCTCTGACTGTTAGTGACGTTTTTATACTTAATCCATTGGATGTTGGATATGTATTAATTGATTTAGTCTTAAATACATGATATTTTATTAGTTGTTAGTGGCATTGAACTAGCTTTCAGTAACTGCGAGTACTCTCAGATCGTTTTTTTTTTTTTTGCCTTTTGAGTTTTTATTAGTTTTTGTGTGCTCTGTATCGACCCTTTACTATTGATTTTTATAGTTTGTTCTTATGTTGTACTGTTACACCACTGTCCCAAGTTAGGGGAGGGTTTGGCGCTAGCAAACATGTTTAACCCCGCCACATATATTATACATATACATAAATCAGGCCGTTAGTTTTCTCGTTTGAATTGTTTTTTATTTGTCATTTCGGGGCCTTTTATAGCTATTATGCGGTATGATTTGCTCAATTCAAAAGGATGTACTGTGATCTCTAGTTGTTAACGTGTACGGCATTTGGTCTCGGATTGAGAATTGTCTCATTGGCAATTATACCACACCTTAATTCTTATTTTTACAACAAAAGAAAACATGAAAAATATGGTTTGAAATTTATGCATGGATGATTTCCATTCCTTTTATTTGAGTATCCAAAAAAAATATTGCCCAAAAACCATACGTCGAAGTAAGACAACGCTATGACCAAATAAAAAAAGAAAACATGGAAAGAACATAAAACAGGTCACATCCACTTAATTTTAACTCTGGTGGATAGTTGTCTTATTTGCAATCATATAAAAATAAGGAGATGTGATATGATTGCCAATGAGACAACTATTCACCAAAGTTCAAATGAAGTGGATGTAAGTAATTAAAGGCAACCATACGGCCTTCAATAATGAGAAAACCCCATACCGTATAGTCGGCTACAAACGGTCCCGACATGAAAAATATGAAACAATTTAATGGAGAAAGCTAATTTAGTTATATAATTTAAACGAAACAATTTACGAAAACAAAAACAACAGACATGGTTCAACGACAACCACTGAACTACAGACCCCTGACTTGGGACAGGCACAAATAATGTGGCGGGGCTCAACATGTTTGTGAGCGCTCAACCCTCCCCTAACCTTGATCAGTGGTGTTACAGCACAATATAAGAACAAACTATAACAATCAGTTGGAAAGGGCTCAACTCATCAGATCGATACAAAGCAGAAAAACATCTAACAAAAACACAAACCGGACGTGGCAGGGTATTAATACATGTACATCCCTAACAACACAGAGAACAGATCTAAGAGTACTCGCAGTTACTGTCAGCTAGTTCAAAGCCAATAACAACTAATAAAAAAATCATGAATCTAAGACTAAAATATCAATCAGTACACATCCAACATCCAATGGATTTAGTGTAAGGACGTCATTAACAGTCGGAGAAAACACATGACCTTGTGCAATGCCAAAATATAGGGTACATAGGTATTTTGTTTAGGGGCCAGCTGAAGCCCGCCTCCGGGTGCGGGATTTTCTCGCTGTGTTGAAGACCCATTGGTGGCCTTCGGCTGTTTTCTTCCCTTTGGTCGGATTGTTGTCTCTTTGACACATTCCCCATTTCCATTCTCAATTTTATCAACAGATTGTAGTACCGTGAAATTGCATATTTGTATAACAATAATATTTAGTATGGTTTTAATTTACTGATAACAAAATCAATATTTATACCAATAAAAACAAAATTCAAAGATCTAATTACAGTGTTGAATTGGTAACCTTTTAGAATGAGTTTATTTAATGGATTGATAAGTTTACCTGGATCGTGTCTTAATTTCCGGGCTCGGTAAACAACATCACCGTAAGAATTCAGTAAAGGTTTTAAGTAATATGTGGTAACGAAATCCCTGTCTTAATAATTTACCAGTAATACATATGTAACACTCATTGAAATCCAAAACATCACTACAAACGGGGGCATAGCAAACGAGTTGGGATATATAAACACCCTAAACGGTGCCAAAGGAACATCACCATCCAAAAAAACGAAAATTTAACAATAGGGAAAGAAAAATCATCCATTAAGTCGTAATTTTTTTAGTAGAGTTTCTGGTGTAAACTGGAATATCTAAATCTAGGAAAAGACAGTTATTGATGCTAATAATTGATTTATCTAAAGTATGCTCCTTTCAAATTGGGTTAATTTCGGTAGTATATTTAGAGAATTATTGATTATTTAACGAAAAAATATCATCAAGATAACGATAAGTGTTGTTGGATTTCTCAATTAAATAGAATTTAGACGGTTCCTTACTGAGTTTGGCCATAAACTGTGATTCATAACAGTACAGGAACAAGTCTGCTATTAAAGGGGAATAATTGGTGCCCATAGGAATACCTACAACCTGTCGGTAAACTTTATTGCCGAAGCGTACATAAATGTTGCCGAGGAGAATATTTACGGCTTTAATCATCTAATAACACCTCCAGTTAGTATATCTAGCATATTTACCTTTCTCATTTGAGAAAAAGGCTTTATGTGAGTTGCAGAAAATAAATTTGCAATCAGATTTATCAAACGACAATTTAATTAAATAGAAAAACTTTTGTTTGATAAGATTGTTTGGAAATGTAGTATAAAAAATGGAAAGTCAAAACTGTCAACCGAATCAAAGGACCGTCAAAAGAACGTAATTCATCTAAAGAATCCAACAAATTTTTTTCACTCCAAAAATCGTTAATTCCACTTTGTTTTATTATATTACAAAAATTAATGATAAGTTCTATGATAATAGTTAAGGAACTCGTTAAAAGCACTGAAATATTAGTAGTAGAACACTTACTAAAGGCCGAGATGAAACGATATTTACTGTTTTTTTGTGTAGTTTAGGTAACTAATACATAATGGAGACCTTCAAATGTTCAGAATAGGCCTTAAGCTTAGCTGTGGTAGTGACATAATTACACACTATATGACTCTCTGTTGAGCGTACGGCCTTGAATGTAGTTGAATGTATAATTTCATTCTTAAGGACTTTCGTGTAGTATTAACGTCATACCACCACCACATTGTTGGCTGCTTTGTCGGCCGGTACGAACACAAAACGGTTTGCGAGTACTTGAATTTTGTTTTTAATCCTAGAAATGGGCGTATTACTTACTTTTTTATTCGTTTCTAAATTATTTTCGAAATGTGATATGCGAATGTCAACAATATTCAGACATTTATTTAAATAGGAATCAAGTGACTTTTTGTCATATTTCTCCCGTTTACAACATTTTCTACAATAGGATGAAGTAGCATCTTTGATAACCTGACGACACTATTCTCAATTTATTTTCGACGGTGGACGATATTAGGGCCTTTTTTTCTAAAAGATTATAATATCTCGGTCTTGAACGATGTTGAGGTCCCTTGTATTCATATGGTAATAGGTTATACCACATCTCCTTATTTGTACAGAACGGTACAAGAAAAGAAATATAAACATAAAGCACATTGAACTGGGGATAAGCTCAAGTCCTCTAGTAGCATCCGTCTTGAACAACTCCATTTGAATTTTTAGTTTTGAAGATACACATCGAATAAGTTACTGATATTTATCATTGCGTTCATAGAATTAACATGACAGTGTCATCGTGGGACTCGCGCAAAAAAACTTGTTAAAATTTGAAAATATGAAGATGTGGTATAAGACAACTCTCCACCAGAGACCAAATGACGTAGAAGGTTAGCAAGTATAGGTCAGCGTACGGCCTTCAACAATGATGAAAACCCGTACATCATATAGCAAGCTATATAAAGGCCCCCAAATGACAAATGTAAAACAGTTCAAATGACTAACGGCTTGATTTATTATGTACAAAACAATCAACAACAAAAAAATGATATACAGCAACAACAAAAAAACTATAAAAATAAGTTGAAAAAGGCTTCCCCAAGCAGATCGATACAAAGCACAATAACAACTAACCAATCACAAAAGACACAAAATACAGATCTGGGAGTACTCCCAGTTACTGAAATCTAGTTCAAAGCCAACAACAACCAATAAAAAATCATGTATCTAAGACTAAAATATCAATCAATACACATCCAACTTCCAATGAATTTAGTGTAAAAACGTCAATGTTTATCTTTCGCTCCCTCTCTCACACACAATTAATATTGTATTTGAATCTCTCTCTCTCTCTCTCTCTCTCTCTCTCTCTCTCTCTCTCTCTCTCTTCATTTTTCATTGCTGATTTTCTTCTATTTTTACGACCGTTGTCTTAATTTGACCTGTTGATACAATTTGTGTATTTTTGTTATTTAATGTTTACTTATTCAGTGTTATATCTAGCTCACTATTTTTAATATATATCACTTTGATAAGTGTTTAGTATTACGATATATTTTCACTTTTGTTCTCGTACTAGTAACAACAAAATTATTTTTTGTAAAAATTATTTCCGTACTCTATGGATACCATTCAACAAAATTATTTTTATTTACCTGTGTACGTTATTTTATTTAGTGACATTTTGTCCACGGTTAAAGGCCACACCAATTTGATTAATAGTTCTTTGGATTTTCCCGCACCTGTTTTAGAGAAATTGACTTTTCAATAAAAAAAAATTATTAGGCCACACCAATTTGATTTTTAGTTCTTCGGACAAAAGCTCCAAAAAATATGGGGCGAGCGAGCGAATTTTTTTTTATTGTATTTATTTCTTGAAAATGAGTTTTGTTGAGGCGGGTGCTCTACAAGTGGAGCGAGCGGTATAACATTTTTTTTTAAATTGTGCGATTTAGAATTTTATGTACATGTAAAACTGGTTACTTCAAAGAAAAAGGATAATAAACATGCTCTTATTC